TATATATTTACAACAGGACAAATGATTTGCTAGCAGAATATAGATATATAGTTCTTTTCAGATAATATTTTGGTCATGCTTTTGAAAAAAATGAACGTAGAATAACATAGTTAAATAGTGTTCATTAAAATAATCCAGATGGAGGTTGTCTTTCCACGATATAACTCAACTCTCAGTAGGTGTAGTAGGAATTACTTTTGACTTTTGTTCTGTGTAGGCAAGCAAATGGCCCAGCTGATCAGTTATGTTTTTTAGTTCCTGAACAGCACTACCCACCTCCTCTTTTAATTCTCTTAGTTCAGAAATTAATATATCCATTTTAGAATAACCATGTGAAGGTCTAATGAGAAAAGATCCATCAGGAGAGGGTCCTGCAATTAAAGGAATTCCAGAAAAAGCAAGTCCAGAAGATGGGGAGATAGTAAAAGATGGCAAAGGTCCAGAAGAATATCCAGGAGAGGATACTTGTTCCTCATCACAAGGAGGCCCAGCAGAGGGTAGGTGAAGAACAGGAGAAGAAGATCCAAGAGCTTCTGTTTTAATGGTAAGCTGTGGTTGTAATGATTTGTTGCTGTTGAATGCAGGAGAATCATAGGAAACTGAACATGATGAAGCAACTGTAAAATTAAAATTTATTTAATTGTACACACTAATGTACAATTCCAAACAAATCTCTCACAGTATTAAAATGCTTTAGGATATGCAATGTTAAAATATTACAGTTATAGTACATGACGGTTAAAGCATCACATCATTTTTTTCTACTCTGGGTCAAACATTTTTTAGTAAAAAATATTAACAGTTTAAACTACTGATAAAATATGCAAGATAAAGGCTTGCTGTTTCCCTAGAGACCAATTAAGTTTGCTTTTCTTTTTTTCTTTTTTGGAAAAAAAAGAGCTTATTTTAAAAATCATGTCAGTTCTTTTCATAGAACCCCAGCATAGCAATCCATGCAGCTGTTTCATGTTTTAAATTATTTAATTTTTGAAGAAGCATCCTTTATAAATAGTATTGTTTGTACAGAATGCTTATTGGTTTCTGTAATCATATAAATTAACATCAATTGAAATATTATTATATGAACCTGAACAAGGATTAAAAATAATTTATAATTTTGAGAACTAAGGTGAAGTATATCAGTCCATTCCTTTTCATTATCATTCCACAGCTCTGAGTAATATTAAGTAAAAACTGTCGAAGACTATGGGCCATCCATATAAGACTATGGATCCATAGTTCTAATATTATGATATAAAATTACATGCCAAATCTGTACCTTCCTATATTTAGGTCTTTATTAGAGGGGAAAGAATTAACTGCTCTGAGCAAAGTAGAATGGAGTAGCTACATTTTCACTTAAATGACAAGTGATTTTAATTCACAAGCAACATAAACTTCTGATGCTATTATAGGATGTCCTGATAGCCTATTGGCTCACTAATCTCAATTATTTCAGAATTATATCATTACTGTAAGATTCTTAATCTTAGAGTAAATTCTTGTCTTTTTTCCCCCAGATCTAAAACAATCAGGAATATGTACAATCTCTATCAACTAAAATCAACTGGGGAAAAAAACAGAGTAGTTTTTGAACAATTCAGATAGAAGTATATACCAAGAATGTGACTTAATCTTATGCCATGCACAATTTCAAAATCAGTTTCCAAATTAGCTAACTCAGGAAGCAAATAATTGATTAATATAACACTGTCTTTTTCAATAAAATATGCCTAAGAGAAATAAACAAGCAGGAAATACAACAAAATGTTGCAGGACAAAGTGCTGCAATTTTGAAGATACCCTTTTCCCCTCAATAATCAGTCAAATTTCAACCGTCAACAAATATGTTCAGTGTTCATTATAACGCTCCGGAATCTTCATCTTAATTTTGTTTGTCTCTAACCTTGTTTTTTTACATAATTTAACAAACCTACAAGCTCTCAAATGTGTTGATACTTCTCTTGCAAAAAGTCAATAACTATTTTCACTATTTATAGACTGAAACTCAGAATCTGTTGTTTAGGATAACCTTCACACTTCTTCAAAGGTGAAACTCTTAATACATAATGTTTTAAATCCATACAATTCCCACTTTTCTTAATTGACAACAAAACTATCATCTTTTGTTGTTGTTGAAAAAGTAACTACTTACCAATAATTGTGGTTCTGCAAGTTCATATTTGTGGAGCAAAGATCTCAGTTGCAGCTGAATTTCGGGAACCTTTTAGAAAAGCTGTGTCTATTGTTATTGCAATACCATACTTTTATGGCACTGAAGGGAACTGAGGTTAACAAATAACTCATCTTCTCCTACTAGCCTCAGAAATTTAGGAAAGCAGCAATTTGGTCAACAGAGTTTCTTCTTTCTCTTTTATGATGACACCAAATTCTGTCGCATGGACACCTTTTGCAAGTGCAGCTTCTTCCTACCCTTATATCTGAGATTAGAGAAAAGCAAACCAAAGCCTCCAGAATGTTCAGTAGCCCAAACTGAGAAGCTGAAAAAATACATAACTTGTTAAGACGATCTCCTGAAGATATCATGATTCTAGGACAAATTGCATCAGGCCTTAGTACTTACCAACTCAGAACACCAAAGTCATATTTGTGGTGAAGTTCCCGCAAAATGAAACCTCAAGCATATCTAATCTTGGTACAAAAGCATTTGCCTCTTCATTTCATAAGATCAGAAAAAAGTTCTTTCGATAACAGAATAGTTACTGTGATAGATAAGTCGTGCTTTCTGGAGCAAGTGGTTTTCATTTTAGAATAAGCTAGAAAGACATGTGTCAATGCATTTTGGATACTATTCTAGCAGACTAATTGACAATGAAGGATGTACTTGTTATTGAAGCACATCAAGAAAATAATATGCATTTGGATCTAAGAAAGATAAAATGTCACTTAAACTGAATATAGATACAAAAAAGGCATAAATTCAATGACCATGCACAGAGCATAGTAACGATTATAGAAAATAAATTGATAGCACCCCAAAAGACCATATAAAATAATATTAAATATCAATCAGAAAAAGTAAAATATAAGAAAGGCAAACAATAAAAATTAAAATTATGAAAAAGTATGTTTGTATTTGAAACAATTTAAGCCTTTAATGGCTTGTTCACATTCATGAATATATCCAGACACATTTTTCTTCGCAACTGAAGGTTACCAAAGCTTAAGCACCACATATCTCTACACTCCACAACTAGAACTATGCAGAGACCACGTGAACTTTTAACCTATCAGCACAATTTTGACAATTAGACTCTGTATAAATGTCATGTCTCTTTCAGAGTAGATTCTGTGCTTATATAGTTTGATCCTGTTCCCACACCATGTATAGAAGTGATTGTACAAATGTGCAGCATTGCTTTTAACCTTGAATATGGAAATTGCTTTCTCAGTTCCGCACTTAAGTATCTATGATGGTTTCTAGTAAAGGCAATCATTTATAAACATGGCAAGAGCAACAGAAAAGTAGATAAGTTATAGCAATTTAAGCAACATTTCGGAACTATCTGAATTCCAAAACTTATTCAAAAAAGCAAGAAAAAAAATCACAGATGACACTTTTAGAAACCAACACAATAAGCCAATTATTGGGGGGATTTACTTCATACTTTTTAAAAATACAAAAATAAACAGATAATTGCAAGGTTTTTGAAATCAAGTTCATAACTGTATGTATTGAAAATTTTCATTTTTCATCATAAAATTTTTACATTTATATTTTGAAAAAACAGAAGGACTCAAAATGTTATTTTAAAAATTCTGTTCAAAGAACAGAAAAAGAAAAGGAAGGAGACAACTACAATAGAAAGGCTCTAGTTATCAAGGTTAAATTGAGAACTTTATGCAGCACCATGAGTCTTAAAAAATAATGTTTTAAGTGTTGTATTAAGAAGAAATTAGACAGAAATTTATGACCAATATATGAAATTGGCATAATTATGTTGATGTACGGTATAAAATAGAAATTGGAGTAAGTGATTGTGGATATAAATGTATGAGAAAAAGGAAATAAACTTCTGAAAACAGATAATTCTAACTTTTAATGTGATATTTTATCAGATCTTTTACTATATGTTTTAATAATCTTTGGAATTTCATGTCATACAACACAGAGCTTCAAAATTATTAAGCAATACTATAATATAATATGAACAGAACTAAAGAAAGTATTGTGGAAACTAAGAAATCATCATTTCCATTCACTATTTATGTTTAATTTTCCTCTTCAATGTAACATTGCTGTGAAATACAATTCATGGCTGAACAACACTAAGATATTATAGATGTGGTTGTGTATTCATTTAGCTAAATTTTACTTCAGGCCTACCCTTAGTAACTGTGTGTAAATAACGATGCATGTATGCCTCTGTAAAATACGGTACTTCTCATTTATATTTCATATTTTATTCACACAAAGTACATATGAATCAGTAGATAGAAATAAGTATTTTCATGTAAGAGTATTAAATGCATAGCAACATAGCCAGAAAAAAAATGTCAAGATTAATCATCCTCTCTTTCACAGTACATCTGCAGTCCAATAATTTATTCAATCATTTTCAGATCTTTCTAGATTCTCCTAATCAATATGTCTCTACATTTTACCTACCAGTAAATCAATTATTAAATACTTCTTGTGACTCTAAATGAGTACTATGGCTTTGAACAAGGAATTTGTGCATTTGATGAATACAAAATAGAACTTTTCAATAATGGGAATAATATCATAATTGCACTGAATGTAATATTCTAAGGAAGTATTTTAACCCCAAAAGATTTAATTTTTTCTTTTGTATTCCATTCTACCATATATTCATAGTTTCGGAATAAATAATGTAAATAAGAGCTCTAAGAACCTTATTTATAATATATCCTGTCATCTATTTATGAGTAAACCTGACTGAATTCAATATAGTTTTCTTCTGAGTAGACACAGAATGAATTGCACACTCATTTTTCTATAGTAAGGATTTACTCACCTTGATCTCTTTCATGCCATGTCCTACTACCAGCAGCTGGTGAATTTGGGGAAGGATAAAAATCTCCTGTTGGACTTGGTTCCATATTCTCATCTATGGATATAGTTTTGGGTCTCTTACTGTAAACATATAGAAATAAGGTCTTATTTAATCAGAATTTATATTGATATTTTAAAGTATAATCCTTTTCAGACCTATCAACCCTAAAACTACACTTGATAGACATATTCACATTTTACACTTATTTTAAAGTTATTTACACTGTACACATTCTTCTCTTATTAATATACTAGTGATTGTTTTTACACTAGCATGAAGAGTTAGGTCTCCAACAGGCCTTATTCAAGAACTGACTTTGTCAGTAGAAGGCTTACATATCCAGCAGAGTCAAATTAATTCTATTATTGCAATAAGAAAGGAGGATACACATGTGTGCACACATTTGCCTATGAAAATGTACAGGAATAAAAATCCTGTATGTAGATTTATGTCAGAGAGTTTTAATTCTAAGTCTCTTCCCTGCCTTTCTGAGTCAACAAATAATAAACTGAGACACTAATATCTATGCTGATATTAACAATTCTCACTAATTTCGGAACTATATATACTGTTTCATTAAGGCCCTTCCCTCCCTCCAATGCAGACCAAGTTGCTGGACAAATACATAATTGTTTAACTGAAAAGCTGCAAAGCAAAATCATTTAAAATATTATATAACTACAAACATAATGGACAAACCTTGTTGGTGGAGAAGATAGCGATCGTTGTAAGTTAACACTTGAGTTCATGTCATGATAGTATGGTTGACCTGGAAGTTCTCCAATGGGGAAGTTTACTCCAGCTCCCTGGGTTATAGGTGCTAAAGAACATAATTTAAAGTAACGCCTATTGTCTAAATAGACATATTAACATAACCAAAGTAAAAGCAAATTTTATCTAATTATTAGTTGTTTTGCAATTAAAAGACATAATTTGTACTATTTAGGGGCATGGGACAAGCCTTCCCTTCCATCTCAGCATGCAAGGTCAAGTGAAAATGGGTAAGATGTCCTGAAGCCCAATAAACCATAGGGAAATGCATTAGGGAAAACTGTGCTAGACAAAGACACCATTGACTCATAGACGTATGCAAAGCATCATAGATTTGTTTCAACAAAGTAACCTGGGCTACAGAAGCAATCTGATTTGCTTCCCTCTCAAGCTGTTTCATACCAGTACCATGGAAGAAGGCTGATTGATGGGAGTTTTATTTCAGCTAGCTCTCTAGAAGGTTCTTTCAAACTGCTCCCAATATTCCCCCTATAAAGTATTGTCCCCTCTGACCTCTTCAGACTATCTTTCTAGTGGGCAAGCAGGGATATGAACTGAGAGTTTTGACAGAAACAGACAGAGGCTCTTTCAACTACTTGCCCAGATTCATTAGCAAATTATTTGGAGGAGGCACTAGGCAGAATAGCTTTGGTGCACTCCACAGGATAGCTTGCAATGATGCCCAGAATGAGTTCTACCCAATCTTTTCAGATAAAGCTTCTCTCACCTCCTCCTCTCTCAGAACAACAGTTTTGGAGACCGTTCCTAAATGCAGCAAGACACATTGCTTTACAAAATACCTTTGAGGGAACTGGTTCTCTTAAAGGTTTCCCAAAATAAAACATTCCTGTGAAGCTTTGCATACCCCTATTAACTGGTTCTGTATGTTCTTAAGTTCTCATACATAGCAAGTCACACAGTCTATAGGCAATAATAGACTTCAAATGTTTCATTTTATGAAATAAAAAAATGTCTTTTGAAAATAAAATTTTATTTAATATGATTTATATTCCATTTATAATCTTACTATATTCCAAGTTATGTGTTCTCTTTTCATGTCACCAACACACGTGTGTTACATTGGTTTATATATAGTTAACTTAGAACACTAAAGGGCCCAAAACTACTGCATATTTGAAAAGAGTTACAATGTATTTTGAATGCTTAATATTACTATCTTGGGTGTGTTTGCACAGAAATAAACCCCATCAAGTTTAACAGAACATACTACCAGGTGATTATTTATAGATTATAACTTTCTTACAAATAAAATAAATGAATTCCAATATTGATTTCAATCCACTTTGAAGGTGAATGGATGTGATCAATCATCATAGGTTTGATAATTACCAATCATGGATATTTATATCAGTTTAATATGCAACATTAGTTACATTATTCATAATCCTTACTTACTGACTGCAATTTGGACTGGCAACTCCACAACTAAGCAACATGGTAATTAAGTAAAGTCAGTACAGTCATGTGACTGTACTGACTTATAAAGTCTGTTCCAGAGTAATCATAAAGAAAACCACCGCTGGTTATTAAGTACATCATCATGTGATGGCAAATTGCAACTGCTTGCTGGCTTTCCCAATAATTTTACTTATCAAAAGCCGGCTGTGAAAGTTGCAAATGGTAATTATATAACTATGAAACACTGCAGCCATCATAACTATGTGTTGGTTGCCAAGCACATGAATTACAATCATGTGACTGTGGGGCACTGCAACAGCTACAATTTCAAGGGCTGGTCACAAACCTTCCTTTCTTCAGCTTTGCTCTAACTTCAAATGGTTGCTCTATGAGTAGTTGGTAAATAAGGACTACCTGTATTGTTAATTATGTAAGTGGAGGCAATATCATAAAGAATCAACTCTGGAAAGAATCATGTAGCAACATATACAAATACAAATGTAATACGCATTCAAAAATAAAATAAAACTTCAGAAAATGAAAAGGAGACTTACTTCTAGACACCCGCACAAGTTCAGATACATTAAAGACTCCAGATTTTACAAAACTATCCTCAAGATACACTGGAATGAAAAAATAAAACAAAAATAAAATAATTAGTTCATTTGGACTAGCAAATGCAGTGTTTTCTCTAAACAACCCATTCATGTTGAATACTTCACTCAAATTCTACTAAAATTGTCCAAATATACATTTTTATATGACTTTCCATAATCATATGTTATTTCAAAGAAACATTTCAAAGAAATTTGTAGTTTTTGTACAATTTGGAAGGGTTATAAGCTTCTAAATGGATGCGAAATGGGTTCAATAAACTGGACAATGGAACATAAGATGTAATGTGACTGGTATGTCATTCCATGATACAGACTTTAATGCATTCAATTACAATTCAGATTGTAACATGCTTCTTGTCTTAACAAAATTCCATCATATTTAATTGGTTGGAAATGCTCAAACTGAAAAAAAAATGTGGAGCAAATCATCACACTGTGTCACAGGTTTCTCTTTATTTTTTTCTTTTCTCCTTACAAGTGATCTCATGGACATATGCCAAAAGATAAGCCAGGAAAGAGGTAACTGTGAAAATAAGCTCTTTTAGCATAACATTCTTCTGTTTAAGCAGCAGCTATATGAAAGCAGAACTGTTTTTGAGTACAGGATTTATAAATGGTACAAATAGCAGGAAAATGCCTGATTCTGTAGTTACTTTCAACCACTAGTAGAAAATGAAAATATGCCATTAAGAAAGTAGCTGTTTACTTCTTGTAGCAGTATAAATTGATTTATAATCTTTCCTTTCCCTTAGACACCTTCTCAAGCACTGAAAAAGAAGTATCTATGTTTCACATAGATTTTACACATTTTAAATCAGGAAAATAAAGTGGCTCCACTTATTTTTATTTGGTGAACTCAGGATTGTTAAATCACACAGGCATGCTTAGAATTGAAGTCTAAAACTATTTTCCTTAAGAGCAAATATTGAAAATAAAATTAGTTCTGAAACATGCAAAATCTGTATGTGAAAATTTGAAAGCTTAAATGAGTATAAGCCTCAAATTAAAATAATACAATATTAATTATCCGGCATTTTGTATATAATTCCAAACATTCAGTTCTATAAATTGGATTTAAAAAGTACTTTTAAAATAGAAATTCAACACAATTTAGTGGTATAAGAATTTAGTGATGTAAACTAGTTAATAAAACTGCTGTGACATATACAGTACTTGATTTTCATCTTTGTGATGATAAAAGGCAATATTTACTGCCTAGTGTGATCTGCTAAGGAGACAATAAAAGATAAGGAAGGCATGTTTTTCTAATAGAAGATAATGTTGCTAAAATATCTACGTGAAACACCTATATACATTACTCCAAATGGTCAGATACTTCAGTATTTAAATCTATAATACAGTGTAACTGACTAAAGCCTTGTTTTATTCTAGAGATGGTATCATGAGAAATAATATAACTCACTAATTATTGCCATTTCTAATCTAAAAATCTACCAGAATCCTCCTGGAAAAATCTGAACAATATAATTTATTATAATCAGAGGGTCAATCAAACAAGATGCCTCCTTGTCTATACAGCAAAGACTACGAGAGGTTAATTGTATTCTTCTTTTTTAGGAGGTATGAAAACCCCTACTTTAATACTACAATTATAAGACTGGTGTCACTGTGAATACTGGGCAAAGTCCCAAGTCCTATGTGCGCCCGTCTTTAAGAAGACAGGTTTGGAGCAAGTTGTCATAACATACCCTGAGAATAGAAGTACCTGATGGCCATACTTGCATTAAAAAAATGCAAACTAATGGTTAGAAACCTGATTTTTCCATCTGATTATATACCAAATTATAATTCCAAAACCTGAATACATAATACATGTTCTTCAACTAAAAAAGAGAATACATGTCTTGTGTAAAGATAGTTTATCAGTGAAATACTTACTTTTCATTGCCTAGTATTTGCAAAGCTTTGGTTAGTATATTCAATTTTCATTTAAACTATATAAATAAAACTATGTCCATGCATATTACTTCCTCATTTTTCTCTAAATACTTAAAGGTATTAAAATAATCAATGGCTTGCCATATTCCTTCCCCTGAAAAAATACTGAAGCAATCAGAATTGCTATGATATTGAGGTAAATGCTAATTCTGTTTTTCTAAATTCTCCCACTTCTGCAAAATAGGATTATAACCCTGAAAAAACATGGGGAAAAAATGCTCCAGGAAGATTCAGGTATTGTTAAAAAAAACCCAAATATTTAGCATTTGCCTTTGGCACAGAAGATATAGATCAAATAACTAATACAGAGCAAGTATTTTCTAATCAGAAATAAAGTAAACTGAGGTAAAAAGAGAAACTATATAATACAAAAACAGCAGATTCTGAGGTCACCCATCTGAGAGATCTTTTAAAAGTCAAATGTGAGATTGCTAAATTCTTTGCAAACAGTGGCATATCTCTTACGCTGGGTCTAAAGCAAAGGACTAAAAGTCAAGTACTGTGGCAATTTTAAGAAGATGCAGGGGAGATCCAAAACATATTGGTTGGAATCGGTTTAATGTTCATTCTGAAAAATTGGACTTAATATTGATTCAGGGCAAACTGATGGAAAATGTAATTAAACAAAAATAACTAACTTACAGAAGATCAAACCTTGCTGAAGTAAGGTAATTCATGGATTCTGCAAAAGTATCTCTGGCTTTACCAAACTTTTTAAAGCGTCAATATTACCAATATTTTTAAAGTGTCAAGGGATATGGGAATGGATCCTAGCAGCATGTATATTTGGTTTTACAAAAACATCTTTGATATAACGTTCTTGATTATACTTATTAGTGCTAGATAAGAGGATGACATTTTATGGATTATTAACTGGTTTAAAAAGCAGAAAACAAAAAGTACATTTGAATCTTTTTTTCCCCAATTAAGAAAATAAGATGCAGAATCCTTCCATTATCTGTTAAGACCAGCTTTTCTAACATGCTAATAAATGGTCTGGACTGAATATAAATTTGAGGTGGACAAGTTTGAGGATGATTGCATGTCAAAGTGACTGTGAAGAACTTCAGAAAGTTCTTTAGATTCAATGAAAATAAATAGAAAATACAATTCACTCCAATAAATATAAATGGTGGACGCTGGGTAAAATCATATTTACATTGATGAATTCCTAGAATTATCAAATCAAGTTAGTTTTAGAACAGACTTAAGAAAGTACATTTTAACACAATGGAACATTAATGGAAATTCACTACTGGAAGATATGGTGATGACCATAGTTTGTATGGTTTTAAAAGGAGGTTGAACAATTTATGGAATGCAAGTCTGAAACTTCAATGTTAGTTCCAGGATGGTGGAATCATGCCTTCAGTTATCATTCAAACAATAATAGAAGAGAAGTTTTCTCTTCTCATGCTCATGAGGACCCCAGCAATAGTTGGTTGGCCATTGTGAAAAACAAATGCTAGAGTAAGATGGGCTTTGGCTAGATCAGGCTAGACTTTTCTTACATTCTTATATAAAGGTATACATTAATGTATTGTATACATTAAAATGTATTAATTTTACAAAAAGTGGTTAGAATACCACTGATGGTTATGGTTTATCAGAAAATGGCTGCAAACCAATTGTGCTTTCAAACATAGAGCCCTGATAACTCAAATCTTCCTGCAGCCCTTCACAAGAAATGTTTGTGGGTTTTCCACCTTGTGCTATGTGATCTTTTTTTCAAATTTTAAAAACACTTGGCAAAATGCATAATATAATAAGTCATGCTATAGGATCCCTTTATCTGTCCACTTGTAGACCTGTAAACAGAATGCAATCCTAAATATAAGGCAATTCTACTATTCATAAATTATGTTCATAAGTTATGTTTGTCCCTATTTGACTTGTAAAGATAGAACAATTTTGAACCATGAACCTAATTTCCTAATTACTTATGAATTATTAATTTCCTAAAAGATGTAATAAAAATAGCAAGTTATTTGTAATAATAATTGAAGGCCAATTAATTCTGCACAGGTTGCAAACATTCCAGGAAAATAAATCAGTTGTAAACAGATAGTCTATATGCACTTCCTTTTCTTCTCCTACATACAATCAAGGTGATCATGCTAGCTTTTAATAATTGTGGCTAATGCTTTAAGAATCAGCTGATTATTATTTTTTTGCCAGTGTCCTAGAGTGCAATTCATCTTATTCTAATTTTCAATCCTGTGAAACATACCAGTTTTTTCTTGGAAGTGAATCAAATTGTCTTTTCTTTGTTATCTCCTAGCATGTTCTTCCTTATTCAATGATATCAAGTTATTAATTTAAGAATTAACTAGAAGACAAGTGTAATTAATGACAGTTTCACCAGCCTATTGCTGTTGGACATCAGTAAAAGTTGGTAATATCCCATGAACTTCTAGTGCTTTTTTTGCAGATCTGGCAACTAAAAAGGTTTCCAACAGGGTTTGTTTAAAGAGTCAGAAGTTTGCCGTGATTTCCACTTTTATACAATATATTCAAAGATAAAAGCAAATAATTGTATTCAACCAAAGTATGAAGATAAAGAACACTTTGGGATAATCACTCTGACCTCAGGTTTCAACTGTGGAAAGAAAACTTTCTTTCCAAGTCTGGTCTTGTCCATTTGAGGTCTCAAAACCTGCTGCCATTAAGAGATGGATGAAGATATCTGAATAATTCCTTAGAACTGCAAGCCCTTGTATAATATATTCTGGTACGTGTTGGTTTTGAAGGTCTTATATCATTTTATTTTTATTTTAGTTTAACTAAACATTTTTAGCAATCAACGACATTGGTCAGCAACCAAAATTCTGGTCCCAATTGTAATAATGAGTTACTGTCTATAAAATATTTTTTGCTGCCAATTGATAAACTAAAGAAAAATCTTTGGAATCCACATCCCTAAAGCAGATAGGAATACCTGTATTATTTTTCACACTTTTGGTTTTACTACTGTAATAAAAAAAAGACAAAGATTTCCCTTTCCAGTTGAATCCAGCTCTAGGGCGCAGTGTTTATCTCTAGTTTCTTGTCCAAAAATATTTTCCATGGTCATGTGGCTAGCATGGCTATTGACTAAAGGCAAACAGAATGGTGTTATCTTGCCACTGAAGTGGTATGTATTAATTTACTTGCATTTCTGCATGCTTTCAAACTGCTAGGTGGACAGGAGCTGGGACAGGAACAGGAACTCATCCCATTGTGTGGCGCTCAGATCTCGTACCCGGGCTGTCAGCTTTCCATCTGACAAGTTCAGCATCTTTAACCACTGAGCATCGCCCGCTCCCCACTACAGTAATAGGAACCTATTAAAATCATGGTATACAACTTATTTGAACTAAAACCAGTTGTCTGCAGCTTGTACAGTCCCCACCTGATCATGCTAAGAAATCTTACATGTACTGAAATTGATATTTTATACCCAGCGTTACGTATGACTGTGTACGCTGTGTAAAACTATAGAATAGTTTTCAGTATTGTAAAGTTAGATTACTAAGTCTTAATTTAAAATAATTAACTGAAGGAAGAGCACTGCTTTAGGCCAATTGTTTTGAAGGTAATGATAAAGCTCATAAATTGACTTGTCAAATTTGCGATGGAAGCCTGACTTAGTACTACCAACTTTTTTTTCCCCAAAATAAACTATGATTTTTTTTGCAACAGTTGTTAATGCTTTTTTATTTGGCAAAAACATCTTGCCTTTCCTCTTTAGTTAAGAAGGCAAATTACCAGACACCCTAAAGAATGCAACAGTCTAGCCAAATATAGAGGAACTGATTTCCATTGCCAGTAGCTTTGCCAAGTATTGCAGTTTGCAGGGATTTTTCTCCCTTCTTGGCAAAGCACTTGCAAAAATTATGACATTCCAAAACTCTAGTAATTTTGCATGCAACATCCTGGACTGTACATTCTGGGTTTGGGTTAAAGATTGCTATAAAAATATCTTTACTATTAGTCCTGTAGATTCATTAAAATCTTGAGTAAGACCAGTGGGTATAGAATATATTAGATTCATTCATTTCTTCCTACAAATTTACCTGCTGGCTTTGCTATTGACTTTGGAAAACCAGTAACTAATCCCACAAATGGTGATCATAGCTTCTTACAACATTATCATGAGCTGGGCACCTATGCGCCTGAGTTGCAGTCATGTAACCACAGGGTTGTTACAATGGCTGGAACTTCAGGACTGGTCATACATTCAGTTTTTCAGCGCTGCCATAACTTTTAACCATCAGTAAATAGCAATAGCAATAGCACTTAGACTTATATACTGCTTAACAGTGCTTTACAGCGCTCTCTAAGTGGTTTATAGAGTCAGCCTATTTCCCCCAACAATCTGGGTCCTCTTTTTACCCACCTCGGAAAGATGGAAGGCTGAGTCAACCTTGAGCCTGGTGAGATTTGAACTGCCAAATTGCAGGCAGCTGGCAGTTAGCAGAAGTAGCCTGTAGTACTACATTCTAACCACTGCGCCACCAGAGCTCACCAAATGATTATGTTAATATTATAAAAACAATTGCGTCAACTCCTTATTTCCATTTCATACAAATTAATAAATCTATTGCTTAACCTAATCCACTACATAGTGCTAATCAATTACATATACTGTTGGAGATTACATGATCCATTAAATCAACTACAGTAGCTAACTATATTTTGGCCTAGCATGGTATGTGAAAGCAGCTGCCGTGCTTACTTTGGGTGCAATCTTGTTTAAGTTTGCCATAGATAAATGTGTTATGAAAATGAAGTATTTATGAATAACATAATCTGCTCTCAAACAACATGCAACTATGAATGGCCTAAAATTCATTTTTACCTGGTGGATTCTTGGCAGGATCGTTGTGGCTTGGACTTCCTGATTGTCCAGAATCTACCAAACAAAAAATATGAAGAAATATGTATTATTTGTTTCTAGCATGTCACAAAACTTACAGTGTTTTGAATGAGTCAGTTTGTATAATGTAATTTTGAACAATTCACTGTTATCATTGAGGAATGAGGGGCAAGAATAGATTGGTACCCCTTATGAAAATTTTGCTTAATTATTATGCATATCCGGCCTATATATTTCCTAAAATACACAATTGGAAACAATGCGTTGCAACTGAACAATGGAAAAAGTATCACTCCCAAAATGGTGAGGCATAAAAATGGTTAAATAAACACAAGCTATATTAGGCACACATTTAGAAACCCTCATAAGGCTCAAGAGCTATAAACATTGTTTAAATAAATAAATAACACTTTAAAGGAACTATCTTTTTAAGTTCCACAGGAAACATATACAATAATGTCCAAACCTCTCCTGCTAAAATGTTATCTGTCCATAAATATATTTATTGAGCTTAGCCCAAGTCAGCATCATTGGATACAAATATAATATGAATGTATGTTATAATGAAATCATAAAAGAGAATAATGTAGTTAAATATAATTTGATAGAAAGTTAATGACTTAGTATTAATAGTTTATATGAAATTTGATGCTTCAAAGGCATAAACTGTTAAGCTTTTACTATAGCAAGATGCTATGGTAAGGCTGCATGAGGGCCTTGTGAAGAGATTAGCAGTTGCTTCGGCCAGGCATGTTTGGTCAGCAGTGGGGTTGGGGGGATGCAGCAAGGATAGACAGCAGAGTACAGAGTGATCAAAAAGGCAGAAATTTTGGGGTGGTAGGTATGCAGGGGAAGCTGAAGCACACACTGCCATTGTAAATGTGGGCAGGCTACTGATAATGTGATTGTGGGGGCACTGCAACAGCCACAATTTCAAGGAGCAGTTGTAATTACCATTTTTGCAGCACTAGTATTAGCTGAACCAATGGTCATTAAACACAGATATCTGTATTGCTTTCTATAGCAGTATGATTTTTTTTTAAAGAAAATCAAGTATTTTAGATTTGATAGTTAATTTAAGCATGAATTATAATTATTTCTATAATTTTCGATTCCATCTATTCTGCCTAACACAATATACAGATACAGCAAAGCCTTTAATTTCTGCAATGGCAAGTTGAACCCAAATATTTGAATCTTAATACCTATGATATGCAATATTTTAAGTATATTTGAGTATATTCAAACCTGTTCCCCCCTCTCAATGGGGACGTGGGCTTTACTCTCGCCTTTCATCGTTCCCAAAGCCTCGGGGGGGGGGGGGTAGCGAACCATCCTGGATCTAAAATTTCTCAGCCAATTTGTAAATTACAGGCAATTTAAAATGCAGACTCTGCATTCTATTTTAGAAAGCATTCGGGAGGGCGATCTCCTCTCTTCCACTGATCTCATGGAGGCTTACCTCCACATCCCCATTGGGCCTCATCATCACCAGTTTTTCCATTTCTGTTATCAGAATACCCATTACCAGTATCGAGCACTTCCCTTCGCCCTTTCATTGGCTGTCAAGGGTTCTGGCAGCATTGATGGCATCTCTGCTTTCTGTTCCAGTGAGGATCCAATGCTACTTGGACAACATTTTGATTCTGTCCTCCTTCAGCCATGCAGCCCATCAGGATCTGCAAATTACCCTGTCATATTCTCCAGAGCCACGGATTTTTCCACTCCTGTCCACTCTAATGGTTCCTGCTTCCCTACCAACAAGCAGGAATCAGCCACTCATCCATCAAGGTCCTGTTCCTGCCACAAATCTGGAGATCTATCAATTGGTGGTGTTTCCCGTTAATCTGGAAGGGACTCCTTTTCAGGGTCCCAGACAGGCAAGTGATAACCACCGATGCCAGCCTCCTAGGTTGGGGTTCCCATATGCAGGGCCAGATAGCTCAGGACCTTAGTCCAGGTCAGAGCAGGCCCTTCCCATAAATTGGCTAGAGCTCAGAGCCATTTTTCTAGCTCTCAAGCATTTCAGGCACTCATGACCAGCTCTCATGTTCTAGTCCTTATGGACAACATGGCCACCATGCCTCATGTCAACCAGCGGGGGGAGACGAGGTCCAGAGCCTCGGGAGAGGCTCTATGGTTGGGGTTATGGGCAGAGCAACACCTGTTGTCGATCTCGGCAGACCACTTCTCCGGGATCAACAACTCCCAGGCGACTGGCTCAGCAGGAGCCTAGTCGACCAGGCAGAATGGTCTATTCCTCCTTCTCTATTCAGGGACCTTTCCCTCAGATTTGGAACGCCGGAGGTAGATCTTCTCCACTCCTCAAATTGCCCAGGTCACCAGATTCTTCACCAGGGAGCGGAGGGGACCAATGCCCTTCGGTGCAGATGGCCCAAAAGTCTCCTCAATGCCTTTCCCCCGCTCTCATCATTTCGGCAGTAATTTGGAAGATGTTGGAGGAACGAGCGGAGCTCCTCCTTCTGGCACCCTATTGGCCAAGGATGCCCTGGTTTGCGGACCTGGTCAACCTGTCAGTGGCTTCTCCTTGGAGGATCCCAGCCCATCTAATCTCCCTTTATCAGGGGATTCTGCTGCACCTGGAGCCCCAGTGGCTCAAGCTGACCATGTGGCACTTGAGCGGCAGTGGCTAGAGGTGGCTGATCTTTCTGTATTCATTTGTGCTTTCAGAGACACCTTTCAGTCTGTCAAGTATCTTCGCCAAAGCTGGGGTCTCTCCTGGGGGCTGGCTTTCATATCTTAGTACAGACTCAGCTAAATGACATCATAGAAAGGAGTCAACCCATCCTGGGCTCTCTCGCAGCATAGATAGAAAGGGCGTTCAGGGTAACTTCTACCAACGCCCATTCTGTCCCTCCTGTGGAGGCTAGATTGGGATGCTAAAGATGAAATTACCAAATGAGAAGAATTAGCAACTCCTCAATAGACAGAAACCTGGCTTTGGGTCTCATGTTCTTCTTGGAATTGCCTCTTTTGTTATTAACACTTGTTTTTTCATATCCAAAATATGCCCATTTCTCCAACAGTTGAGACATACGAAATAGTATGTACCAAACTTATGTTCTCACTGTTCTTGAGGATCTGCCTCTTACATGGGTGCTCATATCGATAGATGTATACATCAAAATCCTAATAATTCTTTTATGGGATATTGCAGATTGGAATATTAAATCCAAAGACTCCATTTTCATGAATTATATGTTGCTGAATTTGATATATTTTGACTTCAAGAAACATGGCAAGCTAAAAGCTTGTTGATAAGTGGGTCTTTCTCATTTACAGCAGCTCTTGGAGCAGGACGAAGTAGATTCGTGGTGGCTTTTATTACCCTGAAATATTACTCATAATTTAGAATCACGGACCTCATTTCTTACTTTCTTTCCTGTTTACTTACATTGAATAAACTGCACAAACCCCAGAGGACTGGTCTAGCTTTCATATTATCCATTTATAAAATGGCACCAAAGACTTGCCTGCTAATTATATGCCTTTTAAGAGTAATAAGTAAGTTCTATGCTAGACACTTATACAAAAAATTAGTTGACTGGATTGAACAGCTAGTATTGCAGCCTCGTAAGATTTTTTAAAAAATCATAAAGGAAATTTATTATTTATATACACATTAACTGTATTATATATTTTATATGCAGCCCAAGACAATTCTTCTTCACTCAATAAAACCCAGGCAAGCCAAAGGTTTGGATACCCATACTTTAAATGAGCTAGCAGGTTTCAGGACTGGACATTGTATTGGTGGACAGGGCTTTATACTTCAATAACTGGCCCAAAACTACACATTTAAAATAAGCTCAATCTTACATTGCATTTATTGATTTTAGGTCCATATCTAGTCCATAGAACACTAAGCATATGAATATTGCCATTAATAGAAAGATCTTTATAAGAATTCTAGAATCAAGTTTCGATGCAGTAGGCAAGGCCACCACACTATTGATATTCCAATTTACACGAGGGAGGGATATATTTTATCATCCCTGCTGTTTAATCTGTACAACAAATTCACTCATGATTAGAATAATCAATTAGAACAGAGGTAGTTATTCATCAGGTTCTGACCAGTTCTGGAGAACCGGTAGTGGAAATTTTGAGTAGTTCGGAGAACCAGCAAGTACCACCTCTGACTGGAGATTTTACAGTATCCTTCCCCTGCCATGCCCACCAAGCCACACTCACAGAACTGGTAGTAAAAAAAAAATGTATCCCACCACCAAATTAGAAGAACCTCGCAAAGAAACTAGCAAACACACATACTGCAACTTTGTTGTGTGCAAATGACACAAAAGTCCTGTCAGAAATATTTTCTGCACTTAAATGAGCTCTTAATGCTCTAGCCAATTATTGCTCTGAGGAATCACTGAAATCAACTAGTAAAACTGAGAACTTGATCTTTGCAATGACACCTAAATAACATGCCTAGAGGAAATATGGCTGGAGTACCAAACAACACTAACAATGTTAACTATTTGCCTTACAAAATGCTCAAAAACACTGGCCACATTTCATTATTTTCAGAGGAGCACAGCATATTGTAGCAGGACTGAAGCTATATTCAAGCTAAGGCTCATGCACAACTACTTTTCAATGTAGTTGAAAAAAATAGAACCTTACACTTCCTTTTATTCTCTTGAAAAGGTCCAGTCTAAATTCACAAGGGATATATTCCAGATAGCCTTTTGTGTTCTAAATGTAGTATTAAGGACTACCTAAAATCAAAATGGGTGCATGGACTTGTGTCATAGCAGTGGATGAAGTTATTGTTATTTGTCACAGGACTATCCTTTATTAAGGATAGTTACAAATCAATATGGTTCAGGACAATCTTACAAAACTCAACATCTCAGCTTTTCCAGAAGTATTTCCTAATCATGTGCCCTCAGCACATTTAAACAACTTATCAAAGACCTGAGAGCCCAACAGGACCAATCTGTCCACATAAGAATAGTTTTCTGCGCAGTCAAATCCCTTTTATAAACCAGTGATATGCTTACACTCAT